CAGGGTATGTGGAGATTCTGCACCATCTGTCTTTCGGCAAGCCGGTAGGGCAACGGTATGTGGGCTGTCGGGGCTGAGTGGGCGGTGATTCAGTCGCTGGAAGTCTGAGCTTTGCAGGGCAAGACCAGCGGCGACTACGGAGAGTCCGAGGCCACCACTGCAGCCTCTGAGAATGCCATGTGAGCTTTACAGGAGGTGGTCCCTCGAAGTGAACATTATGCTAATTCGATTGCTCGAGCCAGTTTTGTGTAGTCCGGTGCCTTGGCATGGAGTGCAATGCACCGGCGAGTTCAGACAAGCCCGCCACTTGGCAACAGCCGTGCGCAGGGGCGTGCCATCTCTGCATATAATCTTCATAGTGAGTGCCAAGCACATGACTTGGTGCGACCAGCCGATAGACACGGAAAATCTTCCTCTGCACCCTTTGGCGTCATCCGGATCCCTGTGGGTCCCCAGCCCATTGTCCCAAAGTGGTGAGGGGTTCCTAACAAACTCCAAGCCCGAAAGCAAGGATTCTGGGCTTTTCTCCAGCTGCCCGAAGCTGGAGGGCCGATTTTAACCCGAAGCAGCAGCTTGACACGGATGTGGGAATGTTTGACTTATCCTGAAGCCTTCGTCCTTAAGGCCTCAGGCCGAAGCATCCATTGCAGGTGGTCATGGCGATGGGGGCAACCCTGGAGGATATGGGGGGATGTGAGCGCTGGCTTTTCACTTGATCCACAACAACCCACAATACTGCATATAACAGTAGACCCGACCATAGCCTGATAGTTGTGAGCATCTTTAGTGGTGTCATGGAAGGTAACGCCTGATGCCTAAGACCGTAGAGGTACACGGCTTCTCTGGTGTACCCAACCTGTCATGGCGGTCCCGAGCTGGCAGGAAATGAGGGCAGCATCAAGCACTAGCCAAGCTCCCATTCTTGCCTCATGCGGCTGTCCCGAGCGGCGGGATGCGGTGGGCGTCATGACAGAACTGTAGTCTGCGCAGAAGTTTTGAAATGACCCGACTGTGTGCAAGCAGAAAGCATGAAGCGCGGCCGCGAAAAAGCAGACAGGTGTGCCAAGAGAATCGAATTTGCTGCCATTTTTTCGTTTATTCTCTCTCTCTCTCTCTTTCGCTCTGGCCTTCTCTGCATCTCTCTTTCTCTTAATCTTGCGGTATCTTTCTATCTCTCTGCGTGGTGCCTTGTCGTTTCGAATTATACTATATCTTTTTTCGTGATCCTGGCTCAAGCAGGTTGGTTGAGACAACTTGAACCCATAATAATAACGGTCCAGATAATATTGGATTCTTTTTTATTATTTATCTATTAATTCGAAATAAATCCTAATTCATTTATTTTTAAATTAATTCAGATATAGACTCTGATATTATAGGTCTTCTTATTTGATACGATATATATATATATATTATTTTTCTATATATTTTCTATATCCGAGAAAAGAATTAATCTTATTCTAAGCTCATTTTTTATTATCATCAATTAATTTTATTTCTTTCTTTTTAAGAAATTAATAGTCACTACGATTCTCATTTTAAATCGATATTTTTTTGTGTATATTTCAAATAAAAGATATGAAATTTATTCTTTAATTATTCGATATTTGGGAAAATTCTGAAGATCGTAATATTAAAATGAAGGGAAAAGTATTAATATTCCATTTCTATATTTAAATTTCATAAGTATTGACGATTTCAAGAAATCTCGTGAATATAAATATTCATAAATGTTGATAGCTTTAAGATATATGCTCTCGATAATAATATTTCTGAAATTTTCGGAAGATTTTTGAAAATTTATCGGAGATAATTGAAATAATATTATTTATGAAATTTTAGTAGATCGAATTCTAATTCCGTGCATTTAGAATATTAGAGATCTCTCTATATAAATAGGGATCCTTTTTTGCTAAAGATATTTTATGAAAAATAAGAAATTGAGGGGTCGTTATTGGTACCTTAACCAATGAAGATAACATACATATATTCCTATGAAGCAAAAGGGAGGATATATATGGGCCGTCGTGATACTTGGCAATCCTTATAAGGAATTCTTGGGTCCGTTATGGGGGGTGGGGGGGCAGGGAATTTTAATAATATCAAAATTTAATTTTTTTTTTCTGACATGGTATGGAGTTAAGCCTCAATTCCTACTGCTATCTTGATATGGTACGAAGCTAAATAATATACCTAGTGGCTCTATATCTTCACTTCTATAAATTAGCATCAATAGGCTTCAATATTTCTATCATATTGAATTCTGATCGATTCAAATCCTATAAGATTCAATTAGATTGAATCCTGATCGATCAATCAATATAGAATGCTATAGGATTCCCGAATATACTATAGAAATCGAATTGCTCTGATTTTAATCTATTAATTATTAAATAAGACCTGAGAATAGCAGCTGAATAACCATATTAATAGAATATATATTATAGGACTATAGAAAAACAAAACCTAATTAGATCTAATAGAGAAGCGACTCTTTCTATTCCATTCTTCTTTTTTTTATAATATTGGGCATAATTCAAGGAGATTTCAATAATAAGATTCATTTAGGGGCTAAGCATTAAGAATTAAATAAAAATTCTATGAAAATACAAGTTCTTTATAATTGCTTGAAATATAACGAAAATATTTCTTCTTATTAGTTTTAATCGAGAAAATTTATCTTTATTAATTTTTTCCCAATTAATTTATTTTTCAACCACAAATATATTTGTGTATATTTGCATATTCAAGATTTCTATATAAAAATAATTATTTATTCAATTTATATTTCTATATTATATACCAATAAAATCAAGCAGAATCTCAATTATTTCAAAAATCATAAATAAGCAGAATTATTTTCATCTAGAATTTTATTTATCTTAAGGTTCTATAATATTAAATATATATCATAAGATTAAAAATTCAATAAATTATTCTAATTCAATTAGTATAAGTATCGAAATCATTTTATTTCTTATCTTATTAATATAATATATTCGAATAATCTTCGAAAAAAATTATAATTTTATAATTTTAATCATAATAGAAAGCTTATAAGAAATACTTATTATTTTCAAAATCAATAGCAATTAAAATATAATATATAATTATCTCATCTCTAGATCGATATATAAATCAAGTCTGAATAATTTCAAACCTGCGATATATATCAAATATCTATTTGAATTGCATCATTAAATATAACTAAAGCACCACACAATCGATCTCCAATTCGAGGCGGGCATCTATCCCAACATCGTACAGCAGACCAGAAGCGACATAAATATATATAAATAGATAATTAAGCAACCAGCCGAGACAAAGATAGGGGCAGGGACAAAGAGATAGAGACATAACGAGACGAGAGAGATAGATAGGTAGAGGCAGACAGAGATAGACAGACAGCTAGACAAACACAAATAGACACAGACAGACAGACAGATCGACAGACCGACGGACAAACGCCCAGACAGACGCACAAACAGACAGACGCACAGACAGACAGACGCACAGACAGACAGACGCACAGACAGACAGACGCACAGACAGACGCACAAACAGACGCACAAACAGATGCACCGACAGACGCACAGACAAACGCACAGGCAGAAGGACAGAGAGACGCATAGAGAGGCGTATAGAGAGACGCACAGAGAGACGATATACATATGTTCATATTTGATTATATAGGTTACTTAAACATATTTCAGATTTGTCTACACCAATCGAAGTTTTCAAACTTACTATCACAAATAATATGAATTTGCGAATTTATTCAACTTTTCAATATGAATAGTCTTGATTGCAAAGATTTAGTTTTCTAGGTCGATGATCATAATGAATGATATCTATGACAAGGATTCATGAAGCTTTTGAGTATCTGATCAAATCAAATTCCACATGCCGTCGTCTGCTGCTCATCTACCCGATATCAGAACCATAATGGGGGCTCATATTCTGGTTTCTAGAGCCGTATCCTGAAAAAGGCTGATAACATCCCGAAGTTTTTTGAACCCCTCAGTTTCGCCCTGTTTAGAGGTTGCAGTCTCAGATTCTGGCGCTCATGGCTTGCGTCAAAGCTCCTCTTGCGCCGGTGCCTAGCATCATAGACCCGTGCAGGAGTGCCTCTTAGGAAACCCTTTGAAGCAAAGAGCCGCCACATAATGAGGGATGCGACGGCGCAACAACCCGTCAGACCATTTCGCGTGATTTTTCCCCCCTGCTCCAAAAACCAGTGCCTGAAAGGAACGCCGAATCGGTCGAAAATCCAGCAGCTAACTTCGTGTAATGAGAGCCGTGATCATCGCAACAATCTTGGCAGTGTTAGCACAACCGTAGTCAAAAGACAACGCAACATGACAATACCAACAGTTCCCATAACAGCAAACATATTAGCACAATCAACCACAATTCTCAGCCTCTGTCGAAGAGCGATGCTCGACCCTAGACCCTAAAACCGTAGTGACACGGATACTGGGGAAAAGCAGCAAACCCTAAACCCTAAACCCCCCCATCACATAAGGTGGCCTGCCGAGTCTGCACGAAGAAAGTCTTGACCCAGGACCTGGCGTGTTTTTTTCCCGTCATTTCCGTTGAAAACGCTTTGAACATTGTTGGTTCTTTGGGGTTTAAGGGTTTAGGGCCTCATTTCCGTTGAAAACGCTTTGAACATTGTTGCTTCTTTGGGGTTTAAGGGTTTAGGGTCGCAAGCCGGGTTCTCAAGATTTTTCTCTTGGCTTCATGAATGCTGACTTCATGGGTCGCCGATTTCCCAGAAGGTCCGATTGTTGCTGTCCTCCTGCTCCTTTTGGCCATACACTACCAGACAACTAGATTCGACTGTTGACCGCTTTTTTCTTCAACTGCATCCATAAATTGATGTGATGGAGATGGCAGAGGGCGCATTTCGATGAGAGCACGGCTTTTCTATTCTCTGTTCGGTGCCACTGTCTGTCCTTCAGTATTCTTACATTTTCTGCTGGCTTTTCACTTCTGAAAATCAACTGAACTCTGAGCCCTAAACCATCCCCGAAAGCTTATGCTCTCTTGCTGTACAGCATCCAAAACTCAGCCTAGGGCGTGCTTCAGGCATTGCCCACGGTTCAGCTCAGGTCTAAAGGTTCAGCTGGCTGGTAAGATTTATGGCCTTGGCATGCGGCATGCCCTCCATGCAAAACCTTGAACCTTAAAGCCTGAATTCTGAAAACATGGAATCCTCAACCGTACAACCTGAATCGCTTTGCTCAAATCACGAGGCACCTCCAGCTGCCACGTCGCGCTTTGGCCTTTGAAGGCATGCATTTCGCGAGACTCGAGACTGCGTAATGCCCAACCAAGTTTGGAAGCAACGACGCGAGCTGCATCTCCATGTCATGAACCTGTATAATATGTTCAAAGGACCAAAGGAGGGAAGTCTCTAAGGAGCGTAATATAGGGGCCTTAATAACTACCTCTACTATCTTGGGGGTTCCTTAGTATAACCATGGTAGAATGGGCCGCAAAACCCTATTCTAGTTACTAAGGCCCCTATAGTAAGCTGACTCCGAGAGCCGGTGGATGGAGAGATTTGACGAAGATATCTTGGGCGACACCTGCCATGTGCCGAAACTTCAAGACTCCAGGGTTGAGGGTTTAGGGTTTAGGGTGAGAGGAGCAGGGACGGCGCAGAAAACACGACCGGGTAATACCTGAAATCAGCCATCCAATCTAATGAGCCAAGCAGTATGTCTGTATATAGCTACTGTCGATAGCACCCGCGTGCAACCAGCCCGGGCCGACATGCCAGGATCGAGATCCCAACATGAACCAAAAGGATCCTCAAGAAAGACTCCAGATTCTTATAAACAGAGAGCTAGCCTGAGATCAACCGCATAAGTTTTCAATCCGGAGACCTGCGATCTAGGACCAGAGGCAAGCTCAGCGGCCTACAGCTCAAAGCCATAAATCTGAAAAGTTCCGCCAACGTAAAGCCCTTGATGCAACAGGGCAGTTTAGCACCCCAAGAAGTCCCCAAAACCCAAAGCCCCTAAATCCTAAACCCCCTAAAACCCTTAAAACCCCCAAGCTCAACACCATCGCCCAAGAGAAAGACTTGGGCTTCCAGCAAACTCAGCCTCTGATGCGCTGCCTGGCCTGGGATTTGGCATATTTATGGCCCGAAGAACTAGAAGAGGGTTCCTTTAAGGTTTTCCTCTCCTTCAAGGGGTACTGTGAAGGGTTTAGTATAGGGGCCCTAATAATCAGGCCAGGGTTTGCGGGGTATACTGCTCTATAACTATAATAAGAAATCCCAAAATAGCATTGGTAATTATTTAGGTCCCTACATTAGTTGTCTCTTTTTTGATTTGTTTAGTTGGAAGGCCTTGTGTGGTAGCGAAATATGGCTTAGGGAATTCAGGGCTGCTTGCTGGATTGCTTGCTGGGCTTAGGGTTTAGGGTTAGGGTTCAGGGTTGACCATACCCCTTCTGCCCGGAGCCCATTCTGTATTTTGCCCTTTCTTTTTCAAGGAGGACGTCTGGTTTAAACACGGTTCGGGGCTTTTGAACTGCTCATTGCTCTACCATACTTTCACCGATGGTCTTCCACACTTTATTTTGCGGCTGGTCTGCTTATGTCATGTCTCGGATCCTCCAGATCGATTACGACCGTCCCTGTTCCTGCGACTACTTTTTTGGGCTGTTACTGCTTCGGTTGTGGGCTTTTGTTGGTTGTTTTGCTCTGGTCTCACTTCTTCTTGTCATCATCAGAAGCAGCATGAATGGCATGGTGACGTGATAGTAAGTAATGATTTTGATGATGACGGTGAGAAGGATTACGATGCTTATGCTTTTTTTGTGCCTGAGCCGGACATGCTTTCTTGGTTCATGCAGTGCTCCGATCACCCAGCTCACGGGCAAAGCTGGGCAACTGCTGGAACTGGGCACCAGGCAATCGAGCCTCAGGAAAGATCAGGGAAACTCATGATGATTCTTCATGCAGATCCGCCAATACACAACTTCTAATCCACGAAACCCCCGCGCTGCCCAGGAACTTCCTGCAGCAAACATCTCGTATTGATGGCTTCAGCATGAGCACTGCGCAGACTGAAAGTGCCCGAAGTGGCCACTGCGGGCTGAGCCCAGCACATTGTAGCGATGAAACGAGATAGGTTCGTCGCTGACTGCGAGCAAGTCCTGCAGAAGACGTCTTGTCTTTGACATCTGAACTCCGACTGAGGCCAACTGCCAACTACTGAGCAGATCCCCAGTCCTTGTGATAGTTGTGAGGCTCCGACTGGTGGAAGCCTTCCTCATGTGTCACCTTCCGTGTGAGCGAGGCACTCAAAAGAATCGCAACAATTTGGCACACGGATGCTTGTGTCTCTTAGCACAGCCTGCAGCAAAGTACCACTTCTCCGCAACATGTAGGGGTACCCTTCCGCTTGTGGCTCCCTTCAAACTCACAGCTTGAAGCTTGCCGCTGTGACGCCAAGTTTCACCGTGCTTCTTTCTTGTTGTTATGCTACAGTACGCACTGTCGTTGCGTTTCTGCCAGGTAGAGCAAGAAAACTCGCCTGGACGCCGAGCGACCGAAACCAGGAGCCCAAAGACATGTCCTTGGCGAGGTGTGCATCAACATTCTCCCATCCCTGCTGATGTGCTAACTACTACAGTAGCCAAGAGCTTAACAGGATGAAGATGAAGCCATACAAATATACGGTTAGGCTTGAATCGTCTCCTCCGCTCAACCCTGAGCCTTGCAAACGGCCCCCATTCCACCACGTACACCCATCTCAGGCGCGAATCATTCCTTTGGATGGCTGTCTACCACTACATCTATGCCCACGAGGTACAGCAGGGTCAAATATCGATGATTTGAACCTGAAGCCGACATGCCAGGCGTGAAGGATCGCGGAAGAATCTGAGATGATGGCATCGGGACTGTCTGGAGATCTGCAGGTGCAAGAAGAGCCTCCACATCGAAGGCGGTGGATCTTTCAAAAGGCTCTTGCTGTGGAGGAGATGCTTTGGACAAGCCATCTTGCACGCCCTAAGTTTGACTGTAGATACGGCGGTGAACGCAGAAGAATGCAATGGCCGCTTAAGCGCCGAGCATGCGACAACTTGCTGCAGCGCTTTGGCTGTCAGCGCCATTCCAGCCCCAGTTGTGATGTAGTTGGTCCCTGGCATCATGACTTCCGAAGACAGAAGTCTGGCACTACCATCGACTCTCCGTCTACAACTGACATGGCTTCATGTCCAGGCCCCTGCTAGGATCCCAAACCTTCGTGATCTTCGGTATGCGACCAGCCATAGCGCTCCCCGAGGTAGACGGCCTGCGAGGGCATGCCATGCAACCTCTCGGTTCAGATCCCAGTCCAAAACAGCGCAACAATGCGCCTGGTATGTCTTCTGTTTATACCGTGTAGGGCTACACAACGACGCACAGCCAGAGTTGTTCACGGGTCCGACTGCGTGCAGCTCAGCAGGAGAAGCCTTCTTGTCGTCGTGGGAATCCAAGACGCGAAGCAGCCGCGGCACATTGAGAAGCGTGTCATCGTCTGTTACCACCTAGAGCAGGACAGTTTGGCGAGATGCACCCAAATTTCGTTTGCCTCTGCTTGTGACCAGCTTAGCCCGTTGCATACCACCTTCGCTGCGGTTGATGCTTTGTCAGATACCTGCAAAATAGCCAGAGGGCACGGCATGCCGCAGTGGAACTACAAGCACACCAGGCAATGCGGATGCAGACCTGTCACAATAAATTTTGTCTTTAGGATTCTTGCCTGAGGATAGCGAGCATCTTGGAGCAGTGCCCACTTCCTCAAGTGCCCAACTGTCCGTTGCAGTGGTGGCAGATGGTGGCAGACAAAGACAGTTGTCGGGTAGCACCTCTTGGCTGGAGTGTCATCTCAGAGTCTCCTCCCTCATCAAAAAGAGCCGCTTACTGATCATGTCTGGTAACAGCCCAGAGAGCCAATACCCCTAAATTTCAGGAATATACCTTAAGCTATAGGGGCCCTAACAGTATGATTCAAAGTCCTAGATTCCTTAATAAAAAGGGGCATTGGGTTCTCTGGGAGTGGTAGCCCCAAGCTTCGACTTGCGAACTTCCGCCTCTCAGAGCCGGGCCATGCTTGGTCGACTCCTTGCTAGGGTCAACCATGTCGCCTTGAGGTGAGATCACCGCGGTTAGTTTTAGTTTTTAGGGGTTTGGGGTTTATGCTTAAGTCTCTCAGGCTCGTACAGGGCAAGGAGGAATTCGGTTGTTGTTGTTGTTGTGGTTGTCAGTGGTGGTGGTCGTGGTGGTGGTGGTGCCGGCACTACACAACATGCTGGGTTGTTGCTGTCCGTAGGGGAGTGCAAAGGGGAGTCCGGCTGCCCATTCACGGCCAGTGGATTCGAAGGGACTTCACATTATCGCAAACCCGATCAGACTTTGAGCCATCCACACAGTTCTACGAGGAGGGCAGCTTTGTCAGCAGTGTGTGCTGGGAGGCTTTCTACTGTTGGCCACGGAGCCCAACATCCATCGCTCTCCCAAGCTGCATCCCTTACCAATACCCTAGGCCCTAAACCCTAAACCCTAAACCGTAAACCCCGAAAACCAAGAACACTGAGCTTCCCACCAAACTCCTGGCTCAGGTCAACGATTTTCGCGCCGAGCCGGCCATCCTCCCCCTGCAATGCCAAGGTCTCTCGTCTGTCGGTTGAGTAGTCAAGGTTTAGCTTGTCAGGCCACGACTAATCTTATAGATGGCGCTACAGTGTCATGACACAGGTGCAGAACTTACCCAACAACTTTGCCACATGTAGCACAACTCAGTGCTTCTAAGCACGATGTCCACTCTGCGGAGATTCGGCATCTTGCAGCTCTTTCCCACCTGGTTGCTGAGGTACAGCACGTCGCTAGGGCTGTCATCTGCCCAAAACTCCTGGAATAACAACACCATGCACGGTGGCAAGTACAACGTCAGTGCCGCCAACCGAAAATGCTCGAGAACAGTGGCTTTGCGCTGGGTGGCTGGAATCACCGGAAGAAGCACTGTGCCAACAAACAACAGTAATCATGGAAGTGGCAAGAATGCTGCACAAAGCCCACGAAGAAGCGTACGTGTCACTCAAAAAGCCCTGAACTCCAATAGGCAAGTCGAATCGTCCCTCCTTCAGCAGCGGAATTCGCGGCTGGTGGAACTTGCCGACAGTCTTCACGGCAATCACGACGTCTTTCGGCGAAAGGCCTTCACTTCACCATCGGTCTTCTATTAATCGCCTATCAGTGAGGGTTCCCCTTTACATGTCATTCAGGTCTTTTGACAGGGAGAAGGGAACTGCTGGGGGAACTAGCATCTGGATGGAATCCAGAAGGCAATGGACAGCTGAAGCCAGAAAAAAGCGACAACAGAACGTCCTGCTAAAATCCTCTAGGGTTCTGCAAGGTGTATGTAGATCGGCATGTGTGCACAAAACGATACGCAACTCGGTGGCTATTTGTAGATGCAGACATGTATGCCTGTACGAATGCAGATCAGGATGTGTGCTCTCCGCTTGCTCTATCAGTCTGCAGAAGTATCCGAGCTCCCTGCCCATTGATGGGCGATAGCTATCCAGGTCTCGTGCCTGTGAACAAGCTCCAGGCAGAAGGACATCTTCCGGAAAAAAGCCGACAACAGGAGCAGTTGCCGTCACGGATTTGTCCTTCCCGCCGTGTCGGGATGCCTGTGACCTATGAGGTTGCAGCAAGTGCTCGATCTCGGGAGCGCACCCATGTAGCACAGCCAGCGGCTTTGCGCAAGCAGAAAGCATCCTTCCGGTCCTTAAACACACACATTGAAAGGCAGGTCTTAGGAGTATCTTTGCAGCTCAAGCACTGATCCCTCAACTGGGCTAAGTCCGCGGCGGTGATGTGCACCCCCAGTTTGCTCAGGCGGTTCTGCACAGTAGAAAGTGCAGACGCGACGTAGAAAGAAGAAGTGTCGCCAGTAGCAGTAGCAGTAGCAATTGTGGCGCTCCACGGCATTACAGGCCTCACCAGCCCCACACATAGTCCAAATGTAGCTCAAGTTAGGAGAATTCCACAGATCGGGTCTAGTCCGAGGCTTCGAGCCCATACTTCTCAATGCAATCCACCGGAGGTCTCACGCACCAGGCATGTGTGAAGCAGGGGGGCGCACCGCCAACTCCCAAATGGGTTCAATTTGTTGGCCACCTCCGATTGGCTTCTCCTGGCAGGAAGCAGTACCGATGGAGCCATGGCCAATGGCTCTCGCCAGCGGTGCTCAGCCCTGCGAGCTTAGGGCTTTGCGGCTCCCTGCCATCCCATGCTGCAGGGTAAGGGAAATGCCTCAAGAATCTCAGCAAGCCTCGAGGTCTTTCACAAGCTTCTTGAGGAGTGCTTCACCTGAAGAGACTCGTGTCAGGGGAGGATCCTTCCATGCCTGCAATCGGCATGGGCCGCGGCTCAGGGCGAAAGCGGAGTGGCCCAAAGGATAGGCCTCTGCAAGCACCCAGAGAACCCAATACCCCTTAATTAAGGAATATACCTTAAATCATAACATTAAGGCTCCTATGATTTAAGGTATATTCCTTAATCCAGGGGTATTGGGCTCTCTGCAAGGAAAGCGAGGCTCGGCTTAATGTTGGCGGCACTCGGCACTTGTCCGCTGAGCGTGGCACCGGTTCCTGCTGGTAGTGGTGGACGATGGACACTGAGCGGGGCAGGACGAATCGTGTGGCAATCCCAGCTACTGCCTACGTTGTGTAAAGCCATACTGTTGCGATCGTATGTACGAAAACAATATATATATATATATACACACACACACACGTAAAAATGCAATTTGCCTTTGCATGCGTCAGGCCTACCAGCTGCTTCAGCATTGACATCGCATCGCGAGCAGCTCTGGGAAAATGACTTTGGTCGTCCGTGAGCCCATGGCCCAAGTACCATGGTTCCTGCCGAAGACTGCCGAAGGCAGAAACATGCGCAGTGTTGCCATCATCATTTGTACCAAAGTTGCTGTTGCTATCATTCTCCGCAGTGACGAGACGTCATTCCATCATCCTAAACCCTAAACCCTAACCCCTAAACCCTAACCCCTAAACCCCTAAACCCTAAACCCGAACCCCTAAACCCTAAACCCTAGCTGTGACTAGACCAGCATCGTCACAGACTTCTGCTGCTCGCACCAAGCGCGGAGCCGGTGCATTCCGCCAAACTCAAGCCTTCCTGTTCAGCTCTCCTTAATACAGAGCCCGTAATAAGCATAATGATAGTAATGATAATCATAATAAGAAAATGATAATCATAATAATAATAATAATGATAATCATAATAAGGAATCCCCAACATAGTATTGGTACTTATTTAGGCCCCTATATTACTTCAGGCTTTCGTTGACTTGGAGGCTCTCGGGGGGCTGTGCCTTTGCATCGTAGCTTGCCAGAATCGCTTCCAGCCTGTCTGGATCGACCTCAGCGTGGAGACGCAGGTGGCAGGGATCCAGAAAGGGTCTACATGGAGGTTTCCTAAAATAGAGGACCTTAATATAGTACCCTAAATAATAGGATCCTTATTATAAGGACCCCAAAATAAGGTACCCTAATTTTCTGAAAGTCCCACATGGACATCTGTTCCCGCGTCGCTTAGAAGCACAAAGCCCGGTCCGGATGGGTGCTGCATGCAGCTGAGGGACCATCGTCGCCGGCTCAGCAAACACCGTCCAGCGCTGACCTTCAATGCGATCAGCTACGGGGCAAGGTCTCGATATGCAGATGTAGACAGCAAAGCCAAACCGAAACTCTGAGTCAACTTTACGGCAACTTCGAGCACCAGGCGCCTTGATCAAGTTGAAAGGGCACTCATGGATCTCAATGTATCGTTCGCAAGTGCCCGGACGAAGCCCGGCCAAGTGAGGTTTGTAGCTGGGTGTCGTGCTTCCACCGGCTTGCCTTTTTCCTGCCGGCGGGGGGTGATCGCTGCAGTTCTCCCAAGCTTAGCTCGAACAAGGATGCATATCTTATTCCGCAGGCCTCATTCCGCCCGGCTAGTCTGCAATATGTCGTGTGACACGATCTGCCATCCTCTAGAACCAACTCTAGAGACTCTAGAAGCATGTGCTGCAAACTGCGAACTTTCCACCGAACATCTCTGGTACAAGCTGTGCGGTCCACAGTCCGCAGGGCCTACTACATCATAGATTCAAACAGACTTGCCGCCGAAGGTCCTCGTCCACTCCCCTTCCGCTGCTGCTCCGACTGCCAGATCCAGGGCCTCCGGATGCCGGGTTCTTTCCCTGATTTCTTCTTTCGGGTTGGGGTTTGTCGGGTTTGGGGTTTCGGGTGTAGGGTGGTGAAGGGTTTAGGGTAGGGTTAGTGGACCAGGGTGGGCTAGAAGGTGGTGTAGTTTCGAACGAGTTTTGAGGAGCCTTTGTTGAGACCCTCCCCTGATGAGACCCGGCGTCTCGGTTCGTATGCAGCAGTACATGTAAGACACCACGGCTACACCAAGGACGAAACAAGCAGAACCAGCAGGAATTACTATGATAGGAGAAACAGCAAGCAGCAAGAGGTATTTGCTCCGGTAATATCTATGCTGACTGCCCTAATCCTAAACCCTGAACCCTAATCCTGAACCCTACTCCTAAACCCTAATCCTAAACCCTAAACACTATTCCTAAACCCTACTCCTAAACCCTAATACCCTAATCCTAAAGCCTAAACCCTAATCCGAAAGCCTAAACTTCTCAACTTCCAGGTTTCTGGAAAATGAACCCTAAACCCTAAACCCTAAACTCGGAACACAGCAGAGCAGGTCACACGGCTGCAGCACGGGCTCCCGACAGAAAGCTCCAGAGGCCCTGATGTCTGAACTCCTTCTCGGCCTCTGCCATGCTGACCTCTAGGCTTTCTGTGAGTTAGGGCTTCTGTGTGTAGGGCTTTTGGGTTTTGGCTTTTGGGTTTTTGGGCTTAGGGTTTTGGGTTTTTTGGGTTTAAGGTTTTGGGTTTAGGCTGACCTCAAGAAAACTCCCAGCTCTCCCGCGCTCTCAGTTGCTTTTCCTGAATTCTGAGGCCATGGAGCCATAGGGGCCCTACATCATCCTTTTCTTGCACCAGTGTCTCTGCGTTTCTTTATCATCTATGAATCTATGTACATTTACATATATATATATATATACACACATGCATGCATGCATCTATATCATATATCATATATCACATATATATATATATATATACATATATTATAAGTACATACGGCTGTGTTCATATGCATGTTTGCAACTCAGTTTACAAGACTTCTCAGTTCCTAGCCCGAAGCTTCGCTAGGACGGCCCTCGACAGGCTGCTCGAACTCTTGAAGCTAAGGTTGAACCCATGGGCCCCGAGTATGGGCCGTTAACCCTGGGGTTTAGGGTCTAGGCTTTAGGGGTTTAGGGTTTAGGAACCCTGGGATCCTTGTGCACCTACTATATACCCTGTATGTACCCTGAAGGCCCCCCAAGGGCCCATAATAGGGGCCAATACTTCTAACCTTGGACTTGAAGCAACCTCCGAAACTATGGCCCAGACACCAAAAACGATTACTGTTATATACTACTGTTGATGATATAAATCCTGCATTGCCTTAAGGACCCTAAACTATGGGGATTATGGTAGTATCGCAGATCATGGGCAATGCAGGATTTTTATCATCAGCCGTATTACTATTCCTGTGACTATGGCGATTTCTAATACTAGTACTACTTGTATCACCTACGATTTTACTTTAACTGCTATTTCTGTGTAGGATTCGGGGACTCCGATCGCAGAAACTCAACGGCAAGGTGCCCAATCTCTGGGATTCCAGCGACGGAGCTGTGGGGCCAACCCGCCTCAACTACCTCGGGCTCAAGAGTTTGGGGATCGAAGCACAAACCCCGCTTGAGCTCGACGGCTGGGTTTGGGGCTTTGGGTTTGTGGCTCTGGGTTCAGGGTTTGTCCGGAAGTAGGACAGATTAGCCAGGGGATGTTGCAGAGTTTCAAGCAAGTATTCAGGACCCGTCGTGATGCTATGACATGCGGAAAGGAAGGGAGGTGTATATATAAGCTGTTGAAGGGCTGTGGCGCTCTTCTGTAAGGCCGTCGCGAAGCACAAGCCCCCAAATTCCAGGGATACGAGGATCTTTGCTAGAAACACGCCTTCGGATGCTTTTTGGGGGCCCCCGACGACAAACAACCGCGTCAGGGGGCGGTGGCTTCAAACACGATGGGAACATATCGGAACTACTGCAGCCAAAACATGCTGAAAGTGCATAAAACACGGGCTTTCATGATTAACATAGGTTTTGCGGGCACAGTGTGTTTAGAATAAGGAAGCCGCCAAGAAGAAATCCTAAACCCTAACCCCTAAACCCTAAACCCTAAACCCTGAACCCTAAACCCTAAACCCTAAACCCTAAACCCTGAACCCTAAACCCTAAACCGCATTTTCTCATCCCCCCGTCGAAGATCGACTCCGGGCTCCATGCTGCCGCCGTCAGCTCGTCTAGGGCTCTCTTCTGATGGGGAAGATCCTGGCTTCGCACCTCAGTATATACTACAAAATATACTATAACATACTATAGTATACTCTACTAAACTATAGTATACTATATAGTATAGACTATAATATGTACTGTAACATACTCTCCTCTGGGAGGCACTCTTGGAGTTCCCTCGCACCGCAACATAGGAAGATGTTGTGTCGACTTGATGGCGTAGTGACTTCTTGGAGTCTGAAGCGTTGAGGCTGCGTTGACATCGATGTGCGCAGAGACCGCGCCACCGAACAAGACAGCCCTCCGTATGCATGACGACATCGCTTGACTTTCGGACCAGGTTCCTTTTTGCTCAAAGGATTCGCAATCTTTCTAGAATAGGCGGAACTCTTTTAACTTCGAATGCCTTCAACTGCGAGCTGAAACATGGTTATGCCGACTCTCGGAACAGGAGGTGCCACCTGCGAGACTTCGACAGGACATGCATGTGAAAAGCCCCTGGATTCAGTCCTTCTTGGAAGCAAACTGAAAGCGCCGCTGCCCCGCATCACGCTTTGGCAGAGGCTCGGGGATATTGAGGGCCACAACGATGACGGCAGAATTATCGGCCGCTGTTACATTTGCTGCTGCTTCCAAGACGGCTTTGGCAGCAGCTTCAGGGGACCGTGTCTCCCGCAGGACTTTTCGGGCTGTGATGATGGCCGTCTGGTCGCGCAGACCATCCCAAATACCATCAGTAGCAAGAAGCAAGAACTCCGTAGTGTCTTTGACATTTACGAAAAAGACCTCCGGCGTGCAGATAATGCCCGGAACTTTCTTCCCTGTCTCGCCGACAACATCTCCAAAAGCACGAGAAATTTGCACTTTTCCATCCACGTATCCGCCCTCGACGCTGACCCCGAGCTCCTGCAAACGTTGCTTTTCCAGCTTGTTCTTCTCCGGGGCATGGTCTGCGGTCGTCGTCGTCACTTTGCCATCTTCACATAGAACTGCTCGACAGTCCCCTACGTTCAGAATGACTAGCTCTTCCGCATTAAGGAGAGCGACGCATGCCACCGTGCCGGACGATGTGCCGGACGCAAGCACTTTGGCTTCATCTACAAGTTGCATCTTCATCAACTCATCCACTGCCGTGAATGCCCTCTTGGCGGCTTCCTCCTTGCCAGATGCTTGGTCGTCTGTCAGGTGAGCGTCAAGCTGAGTTGGCAGGTAATCTTTCGCAAGTACAGTTGCCATTTCGCCTCCATGTCCGTCGAAGACGGCGAAGCAGGCATGGCCTGCGACATTGTCACAGATGGATACGGCATCCTCCATGCGAAATCGATCGTTCTTTGCGAGAGCATACCCGTGTTGCGAGTTGCCTCCTGAGGCGTAATGGGGGAGCAAAGAAGTGTCTTTCTCCCTCCAACCAAGACATGGTAATGGCAAGAAGTTGCCCATGGCTGCTCAGGTATGTCGTCTTGACAGGTTATTGGAGTATTCGAACCTGTAAAGCTGCGTTCACATCTCGTCGCCGAGGTCCACAGAACCCGCGGAGAGCACTCTTCGTAACAGCAAGGCACACAATTTCGCCTCTTGGGGTGCCGACGTGCAGACTGATTTCCAGTGGCACCCTGCTGGCAACCGGCAGCGGAAGCAGCAGCCTGACATGAGTCGAAAAGACAAGCTGGCTGCACAAATAGGTGCGATGCTCAGAGGTCACACTGAGGCAGCCAGGGAGCAGCAAGGAAACAGCCTTCCGATGGCAGCTGCCATGCGCAACCTGAGCGTCGGCATATCATGGACGAAGCTATTCTGGCCAACCCTAACCCCCCAGTTACCTACTATATAGGGTACTAGAGCCCCTAAGGCCCTATATAGTAGGTACCTGGAGGGTTAGGGCAACTTACTGGCCATAATAACGAAAATCGCAACCATCCTGTTCACCAAAAGCAATCTCAGCTTCAGTACCTTCTCCATCATCACCGGTCGCTTGCGGAATGTACTTCCGGATGCTTCGCCAAGGTTTAGAGTTACTACAAATATACTATAATATACTATAGTATTCTAAAATACACTATAGTATACTACACAGTATACTATATAGTATACTATATAGTATACTATATTGTATACTACATAGTATACTATATAGTAAACTATATAGTAGGGTGACCCTGAACTCAGCGACTTCTTGGTTCGACAAAGCGAGATGTTCTTGTTGCACCCGAGTCCAATGTACTCTTCTGGTTACAGATTCTAGTTTAGGGTTTAGGGTTTAGGGGCTACATGGAGTATCTTCCTCCCGATATGCGCTCCTCAATCGCAAGTTCGGTCTAAAAACAGTGGGAGGTTCGGTGAATATTTGTGCGCCACCTAGCACAGGTACAGGAATCCTCTTCCTCCAGCACATGACCGGCTTTTTCTTTGCAGCCTGCACCGCGGATTCTATTTGCTGGATCAGTCGTCCCGATTGCTGCAGCCGCTGGAGCTCTTCACATCCACCTTGGGTTGGGGGTCTCAGGATCTGGGGTTTATGCTGGAACCTGCTCCTGTCCTCAATTCCCTACGGTCCTTTCCCTGAAGCCTCCAACCCTCAACTAAACCCTAAAGCCACCAAGGGCCTAAGAGTGTAGGGCCTTTGTGGACATAAGAGTTTGGGCTCTCAGACTCCACAGGCAAACGTCTTCGGGTTTGGGGTTTGGTGTTTTTGTGTTTGTTTCTAAGGCTTCTTTCTCCAAGGCTTTAGACTTGAGGGATCTTGCCTTGGGCCAGGGTTCCAGGTTCTGAGTTTTGGGAAACTGATTTCGAAGTGTAGTTTAGCGTTTTAAGCCTATAAGTATAAGTGTGTCCTGAACCGAAAGCCAAATGCATAGTCTTTACCAAAGATGATTGCCTGAAGGAATCCAAAGGCACCAAGAAAGGTGCCACCGACGAAGATCTGCGGGACCTTGGACACTTGTCAGCTCTCCCAGCAGCTACGGCTGCTGACGCTGCTGCTGCTACTACTACTACTACTACTACTACTACTACTATTACTACTACGGCTACTACTCACCACCACCACCACCACCACCACCACCACCACCACCACCACCACCACCACCACCACCACCACCACTGCCACATCCGCAGGTAATCTGGTACTGCAGCGGCTGGTAGGCTCTTGGCCTGGCTGCTTGCTTCCCAGGTGCCGTGTCCATGCCGGTCATCTTGCTCAGCTCATGCAAGACCTCGAAGGCGCGGTAAGATTTGTAAGGTCATATAACTCCATCAGGGATCCAGGGTGCAGAATTGATGCCTTGTCACATATTTCCAACTTCGTCGACATGTGTTTATGCAATGCATGGCGGGCACGGACAGAAGTCTCAACAGAACAACGCAACATGTTGACGGCTACCTGCTCCACACGGCAGGAAATCGCGCATGTTACTTCAACATCATCATGTGGTAGTTCTCGAAATTAGGGTCCCTTTTCAAGTCCCCCAAATGGTATCGCACCCTTAACAAAAAACCCTCGAAGGGACCCTAATTTACAGAACTACCCATGTTGCAGCTGTCATGCGGAGGAAGCCCGGAGGCTGAGTGCTGGGCCACGAAGCCAAAGCCTGCACGAAATCAATCTGGGAGTTTCCGAAAATACGGGTGCCTTATTTTGGGGTCCTTATAACAAGGATCCTACTATTTAGGGTACTATATTAGGGTCCCCTATTTTCGGAATCCCCCATCTGACGCTTCTGATTCTGTATGAGTAGGTTGACGACTGCTATCAGGTGTCGATGACATCTTGATCGCTTCATACCTCTTCTGCCAGTAGATTTGGCTGTCAGCCCGAAGCCCTAAACCCTAGACATCTCAAACCTTCTTGCTGGCAGGCCTTCCGTGGTGGTGGACATTCGGCCGCTGCCCTTGTCCTCCCACGTGTCCTCCTGAAAAACAAGACCCCAAAACCAAGTACGAGACTCATGCAATGATCTGGGTGGGCTCCTTGAGGAAACAGGGCTTGCTGATGTTATGTGCAGGTCGCCACTTTTCCGCGTGCGCACGCGCAGCTGTTCTTCTTTGGCGCGCTCGCCGGGCTGAAGCAGTGAAGTTTCCGCCAGATGTCATTGACATGTGGCCGCGAAACTCTCGTATTTGACTACCGCGTCCCCTTAAAATGTGCCACCGCTGGCTGAAGGAAGGGGAGTCAAGCAAAGAAACCATTAAAACTTGAAGTCCTTCTAAACAGTTTCGTTCACGACTGCCTGTGCATCTACAGCTTGAAAGGCTGGTGCAGCCATGCAAAGGGTTGGTTTGGAGTCAGTTCTGGCTGATTCCACGGTGGCGCCGGAGGCGACATCTGTACCGAGATTCCTGAGCTGATGATGGTGGGCCATCCGAAGTATGCATACTTGTTGCTACGTGCCAGTTCGCAAGAACTAACATTACATCAGCAAATCTGGAAAAAAAGCCTGCCTGCGGAAGTTGTGGAATCGATGTGGGTAGCTCTCTAAACTAGGGTCCTTTTTAGGCTTCCTTTTTTCAGGCTGCGGGACCCCAATTAAGAGAACCAATCTGGTGGGGCTTTCAACCGACAACAAGGCAGGCTCTGGAAGTCGAGGGGGTCGCGAGCTTGCTGAAATCTCTGCATGGGTAGCCCTCTAAAGAATCCCTTTTTAGGAACCCAGAAGGTTTGGCGGTAGCCTTGTAAATGAGACCCTAAAGTTTCAACTTCGAACAGGGACCCTAATGTAGATAACTACCCATATGCCTCTATGTACGACACGTTGTGTGATGGTTCGGGCTTGCAGAGATCTTGGTCCCAGCGGCGCCGCGACAAGCTCCATGATGCACCCGCCTCCGACGGCAGGGCCACCTGTCCATGGGCTTCGGATCGGGGTAGGGCCATCATCCCTAAGCCCTACCTATAGTCTCCATTGTAGTTCCTTTTTGGGCATGCCTTATAAAATCCTTAATATAAAATTGGTTAAACCCAAAAAAGGAACTACAATGGAGACTACAGGTAAACCCTAAACCTCAGGATCATCACTGGTCACAGTCGCTTGGAACTCGTGGCTGCGATCTTCGCCGACAAGCAGCCTGTAGAAGCTGGGCATAGCCAGGGGCGATGCAGTCCACAGATGCACCTCGGTGTCTACCTATAGTCACTAATAGTCTCCATTGTAGTTCCTTCTTGTGGTTACCTTATAGGATCCATAATATGAAACTGGTTAAACCAAAAAAGGGAACTACAATGGAGACTATAGGTAGGAACCTTGTAGCAGTCGCGAAACTTGGAGCCCCACAAACCTCAAGATACCTCGAGGCAGGGCACACAGACCTCGAGAGAACTGGAGACTGCTGCTCTCGCAGGTCAGCTCCACATGCATGTAGCCGCGTGAGCGGTTTTCCGCCAACACGACGAGGCCTTCCTTGGTTGCATGTCCGGATTTAGCAGGGCATGTCTACATGTGGATCGGAAGTGCTACATCTGTGATCCCATGGTTCGGCATCAGAACAAGATGTCTAATGAAGACTCAGAACTCTTCATGCAGCTGCCATGCCAGCCGAGCTTCGGAGATCCGGATGTACAGATCAGCGCCGTTCAAAGAGCTCTTGTCCGCTGGCTTTCCACTCTTGGCCTTGCAAGCAAAAGAGGAGCGGATCACCCTCAAGCTAGGATTCCCGCGATACCCCAGATGCTCTACCGGCTGCTGCTGGAGAAACCACATTGTGGGTGCTTTCGGGGGGGCATCAGGGCGGTTCAGTGTCGTCGAATCAAATTTCCAGCGGAGTTGCGTATGCCGCCCAGGCAAACATCACGGCTTGGCGGTCCAACGAGCGCTCTTCTACCACCACCGGCAGGCTGCTCATCACCGCCACCGCAGCACTTAGGGAAGAACCAGAATTCAAGCACATAGGAACCTTAGCTTTGTGACATCTCTTCGGCTGTTGGAAGCTATTTTGCAAACCTCCGGAACAATCTCACCATCCCGACCACCGGATGCAGTAGGTCCGTAGGCCTGTTGTGAGTTCGAGGCTTTTGCTGCCCGGGGGCTAGGAGGTATTCGTCCTCAGGCCGCAGCCAGCAGTCCTCGGCAAAGACTGACCACAGTGGCAGTAGCAGTAGAGGGCTCTTGGCACGAGAACGCGTGACAAGCACCAGGACTTGGACGGATGCACAGCTCGTGCAGCACGGTTGACTCAATGCCAGACTGACAAGTCGTCCCTCGCTGCTGCTATCGCCATGCCGTTCATCGGGCTAGCATCAGCACGCAGGAAAATCCCTAAATAGTTTTCGCCAAGCGTCTGTGCCCACGACGCCCCGGTTCTTGAGACCGCTGGCAGCAACAAGGGAAGGGGGATGAGTCTTCCTCGGTATAGAGCACATGCATTCGGTCCAGATGTTGCGCCATTACCCTTACACTCAAGGCTACGTGCATGACTGCTTGTTTTGCAGCTTCGCAAATCTGGCAGGCGGGTTTCGGCAAAAGTGCAAACAATGCAGCTGTACCGAACGTGGTGATCTGACTGTTTAGTTCGGGGTCGCTCAGACAACCTTCTTGCTTCCACATTTACCCTCTTCATTGAGCAATTTCTAAAGCATCACGGAAAAAAGAGCTTTCCAAGGAGGGCGAAGCATCATGTTGAGGATCACGAGGCCCATGCCTCAGGAAGGATGCGTTGACTCATGGCTGTCCACTGACTGCACTTGAGTTGGCGTCCAAAAGTTCTCACCCTAAATACCCTAAACCCTAACTCCTAAACCCTAGGCCCTAAACCCTAAACCGTAAACCCTAGGCCCTAAACCCTAAACTTCTGAACCCTACAGCCAAGGCACTCGCAAGCTGCTCGAAGAGATGGTTGTAGAAATATCCTCCGCGAGCTCGCTCCTGGACTTTACAAGCTCGGTATTTGGGCGGGAATTTGGGGGGTGAAGAATTAGGATAGGATTATGGGGTTATTTCAACGTTTATACTCGCTAAGGGGACTGTACCTGGGAGACTATTGCGGATCATACCACACCCTTTTTTGACGGTCTGGGGCCCGTTTTTCCCTTGGCGAGCCTTGGCACTCTTGTCCGTACTTGTGTGTTGCTAATATTAGGTTGGTCCCTGGGCCCAGGGACCCAGAGGTGTCAGTATCCTCAAGAAAAGGTATCCCACAATGGTGTTCCTGATGAAGTTAAAATAGAAATAAGGTCAGGGTAACCCTAAACCCTAGACCCTAAACCCTAAACCCTAAACCCTAAATTTAGTTGACTGAATCATGGGATCTTGGGGGGCTTCGCTTCTCTGTCCTCCGGCTGCGCCAGGCTCACGAGGCATTGCGCAGTGGCGCCACAGGCCTCCAAAGCGAGTCCGGAGCGCGGCACCTGCCCAGAGAACCCAATACACCTTAATTAAGGAATACACCTCAAATTATAGGGGCCTTAATGCCTTAATATTATAATTGAAGGTCTATTCCTTAATTAAGGGGTATTGGGTTCTCTGGGTGAGCCAAGCTCAGAGTCTCGAGCTCAGGCTGAGGGCGAAGAGCCCGGGAGCTTTCAGTAGAAACCTCACCACAGCATGCCAGCCTCCATCCAGTCGAAACCCGACGTCAGTTGCAAAGACAACGGCGGCTAAATCTGGCACATTCTGGCACATTTCATGTCAGAAACGAAACTTTTCTTGGGGGTCCAAACTGTTGATGACAGTACATCCTTATAGTTCCTATTCTTGTACAGTACCCACATTAGCCAGTCGGGGGCCTCCTGTGATGGCAACGGCACCGCCACGCGCGCTTCGCACCACTCCGTGCCATGGATCTGGCAGATGGTGCACCTGACGTTTCAGATATTAGGGGGGGTGCTTCGGGTCAAGTCTGCAAGTGTAGGGGTCTAAGTTCGTCTTTTTGCCTGCTCTGACCAGGCACTGGTCGAAGTAGATGATGAAGTCCGGCATCGCCATGAAGAACATGCCAGCATCATCATCGGCCTGCGTGAGGTCGGACTTTCACGAGCCTCTTAGGCACCGGCTCGGCATGTTTAGGCTGCCCCTTCAGCGAATACCAGCACCCCCCGGAAGAAAAACAAAGGCCTGGGATGCCCCGACGCCCTAAACCCTAAACCCTAAACAGGCCTCAGGCCTAAAGGTGGGAAGCCGAACCCACAAAGCCATAGAGGAATCATGATGTGAATCCTACGGCAACACGAAATCATCGTTCGCCGACATGTCGTTCCTTCGACGCCGTAACATCTCATGGGGGGCCATATCTTCAGATTTAACTTTTTCACCAAAGATGGATATTGAGGAGCCATGCAAACATCTTGGCCTGCGTGCAACGCAATCCCCAGCAACCATACGCCCAACAAATGTCCGTGTTTCATAGCTCACAGATTAGCAATACGCCGGGCAAGCTGATCGTCGCAGTTGGACGTATCACGCTCCCTACCTATCGCTCTTCTCCCTCCGTCGCTTCACTCCACAGCTTACATATGCCCTAAACCCTAAAGCCTGATAAACCCTAAACCCTAAAGCCCTAAACCCCAAAGCCCTAAAAGCCCCTAAGACCCAAACCCTAAACCCCCAAGCTCTACAGGCCTAAACCCTGAAGCCCTAAAGCCCTAAAGCCCTAAAGCCCTAAAGCCCTAAACCCCTAAAGCCCTAAAGCCCTAAACCCCCCAAGCTCTA